ACCTTGGCCGAGGACTCTTTCCTTCGTCCTATACCGATAGACCTGCCATACTCGTCGATTTTACCAGGCTTTGCCTTCTGTATCTCTTCGGAGCCGGGACGTCGGAATCGCGTCAGGATTTGCTTCACTTCCTTGGGACAATATCTGGGATGAATCTTGTTCAACCGAGTCAAAAGAACCAGCACTTTTGAATATTTTGAAGCAGCCACCTGTTCGCCTGTTGAGCTTCGGTATTGATTTAGCTTCAGCCAAGCAGGCCGCAGTATCTGGTCTGGAGGAGCTGTTGGTAGCGATGCGTGTTTCTTGACGAGTGATTGTAACAGTAAGAGGTGATCGTTGAAGACCGGAGAGGCTGTGAAATAGGAGGGAGACCGTGGAAGGATTCGAGCAGGAAGAGATGTAGAGTCGTCAATGTCTATCTCGGGCGCAGCACGGATCTGAACCTCTGCGGCAGAATGTGTTGTCGTAGAGAAGCCCTGATATCTTCCGAGAGGCTGGATCCATTGACGATGAGCTGTCAATTGGATTTTGTCATGGAGTCGACATTGGCGACAGATGAACGAGATGGTGGACGGGAAGGCCCGCGCTGAGGGTCGCGCCATGTTCAGAGGGAGGTGTTTCATCACCTGCTGAGAAGAAGACTCTGACAGATCATGGCTTGCAGATTGATTGCCTGGAAAAATCCAGCGCAAACCCAATGGCACTTCGTGAGAGATGAAGTTTGGTGAGGTTGGAGCTTGGAGATCGGGCGCACATTCCGCCAAGCCTTTTTAGGAGCCTGCGCTGCAAAAAGCGGGAACTTATGACTGACCTCAAAAATTTGTTTGTGACTTGAATTTCGCTTGCCTCACGACAACTCTACAACCTCCATTCCATTCTTCTTCCCGAGTGACATTCGTACCCAGATTCAACATGTCGTTCGGCAAGCTCTACGGCTTCAAGGTAAGCCCTACGCAGATGGACATTTACAGAGAGCCAAGCGTTACTGACTTCACTCCTGTAGGAAAACGCCCGCAGCACTGCCCTTTTGGCGGTCGCAAAGGAGAACAACCTTGACATCGAACTCGTCGAGACCAGGACCCCCGTCACGGATCCTGAATATCGCAAGCTGAACCCTCTGTCACGAATCCCGACCTTTGTTGGCTCCAATGGCTTCGTCTTGACTGAGTCTATTGCCATTGCCATCTATTGTGAGTCTAGCCCCGCAGTTCCATGTTTGTCATTTCCTGCCTTCAAAGATGAGCCATATTATCATATTCAGTTATCCCTGTCTGAATATTCCTTGTTGACTACATTGAACTCTGAGAGGCCTTGTTTCCTAGCCTTTATTTGGTACCCCTTGGCGAACTGGACATGCAGGAGTTCCGCTGACAATTGATCGCAGTCGCCTCGCAGAACGACAAGACCACTCTCCTTGGGAAAACCAAGCAAGACTATGCTTCCATTGTGCGATGGATGTCCTTCTCCAACAGCGAAATCCTCCCCAACCTTTCTGGGTGGTTTAGCCCTTTGATTGGCAAGGTTCCCTACAACAAGAAGTCGGTTGATGACCACAAGAAAGCTGCTTCTGATGCTATCAATGCTCTTGAACAACACTTCCTCATTCACACCTTCCTGGTTGGAGAGCGCATCACTCTTGCTGACCTGTATGTGACCTCGCAAATGTCCCGCGGTTTCCAATATGTCCTCGACAAGGAATGGCGTGCAGAGAATCCCAACACCACACGTTGGTTTGAGACCATTACAAACCAACCCATCTGGAAGGCCATCATTCCCGAGCCAATCTTGGTCGAAGAGGCCGTGAAGTATACCCCACCCAAGAAGGAAGCAAAGCCTGCTAAGGCTCCTGCACCGGAGAAGGCCGAGAAGAAACCCGCCAAGGAGGAACCAGAGGAGGAAGAGGAGGCCAAACCAGAGGTCAAAGCCAAGCATCCTCTCGAGGCACTACCGAAGCCGACCTTGATTCTCGATGACTGGAAGAGAAAGTATTCCAATGAGGATACTCGTTCAGTGGCATTGCCTTGGTTCTGGGAGCACTACAAACCAGAGGAGTATTCGTTGTGGAAGATTGATTACAAGTACAACGACGAGTTGACACTGACTTTCATGTCATCAAACCTCATTGGTAAGTCGTCCCTCTTCATGCCACCGCTTTCACGGTGAAACATTCAGCTAAGTGTTGAACCAGGTGGATTCTTCAATCGCCTTGAAGCGTCCCGCAAATACCTCTTTGGCGCTGCCTCCGTGTACGGAAAGGCCAACGATTCGGTCATCCAGGGCGCTTTCCTGGTCCGTGGTGACGAAGCTCTGCCCGCATTTGACGTCGCCCCAGATTGGGAGAGCTACGAGTTCACCAAGCTTGATCCCAGCAAGCCCGAAGACAAGGCATTCGTCGAGGACCAATGGTCTTGGGACAAGCCAATTGAGGTCAATGGCAAGACGTACGAGTGGGCTGACGGCAAGGTCTTCAAGTAAAGCAATGCGTCGACATTCTCGCCGTTGCAAGACGTTGCTCCTGGTTGAGCGGATGTGATGATGATACCAACAATGACAGTTCGGATGACAAGTGGATGTTGTGCATGATAGTATGACAGGCAAGGAAGACCAACTCTCGGTTGAGAAACATGATGCACGATTGACGAGTGGATTCGTGTTTCTTCAGTTCCGACAGTAGCAAGGCAGATAGACAGACCCGCCGCGTCTCATATTCACTCTTTGCTTGCCATCCACAGACCCCATAGAGCAGACAAAGGAATACGAATTGAGCAGTTCCTCCAGAGTACCATTTCACTTGTGATTCTGTGGCCACCAGACCCACGGGTTTCCCACACCTACAAGTACATACAATACAGAACGTCTCGGTTCAGCGAAGTGATGTTGGTAGCTCGAGTATTTCGGCTCCAGGCGCCAGAATGCCAGACACCCCCTCTCCTACAAAATGGTCATCTGTCCATGTACGGCATGTGTGTATTGTATCTCACGAGATGGTATCCACGGTCTACGAGCCCTTGTGATAGTGGTATGTTGGCATGGTAGGTGAACAGAACCAAGGTCGGGACGCCACCAGCCAGCCAAACGAATAAACAGGCAAATAATCTCCCTCTTCTCCCTCTTCTCCCTCTTCTCCCTCTTCTCCCTCATACCTCCTCCTACCTCCTCCCAAAGAGGCACCGAGACACGACAGTAAAACTTCTTCTGCAACGCTTTGCGACGAGGCAGAAAACAAAAAAGAGCGAATGATGAAAAGGTTTTGTCATGTTTTTTTCGCATCAGCGGCGGTAGTGTAAAGGCCATAGATCGACACAAGTTTTTTTTTTCTTCTCCTTTTTGGAACAAGAACAAAAAATTGGTGGTCTCGTGCGCAAAGTGCAAGGTGCACACAGAGAGAGAGAGAGAGAGAGAGAGAGAGACACACACACACACACACACACACACACACACACACACACACACACACACACACACAAAAATAGAACCTGATGCAATAGGAATCTGTTTATTCCTGATCAACAGTGACGTGCTGATCAGAACTTGTTGGCGGTTAGAATACGGGACGACGTTCAGGGTGAGGGTTCGGATGGTTTCAATGTATAAAAAGGATAAGAACAGATAGGTGGAGTCAAGGCAAGGCACAGGGGAATGCGGCGGGGGGCAAAGCATCAAGGTACAAGCACAGGGCACTGCGACAGGGGACTCAAGCGCAGGGCGAGATGACGGAGGATGGTCCAAGTGAGAGACAAAAGGAGAGAACCGGAGGGTTCAAGGACAGTATAAGGCAAAAGATAGAGAAAGAGAGACATGGGAAAGAGGAAAGAAAGTATTGCAGATTGGTCAACGGCAGAGCTCATGTTTATAGGCACTCGCCTGGTGTCGAAATCAACCCAGCAGAGATTTTCAAGAAGAAGACGTCTCTCAACAAATACGTTCGCATCTTGTGTCAAAGGAAGAAAGCGTGGTACACAGTAGATCCGATGGAAACTCGCCGTGACCAGAAAGATCAAGCTTTGATATTGCAGGGATCCGTCCGACTCTGGGGTGTTTTGATGGAACCGTTTATATGCCCTTCTCAGCATGTGGGCCACATATTGTTGCAAAGTTCGATTCCAAAGACGTGGATAGCCACTCAGCTGATAATATTTCTCGTTTGCTACTGTGGCAAATCGCGCAGAGTCTGCGAAACTTTGGTTCCAAGTACATCAATCATGCATCACTGGCTGTAGAACTTTTGACCAGTGATCAAACGCAGAGCGCAGCAGTAGACCGTGTCGTCCAATCGTTGATCAGACAAATCGACTTGATCATTCAGTCTAATCTTTGAGGCTTCGGGGTTGATCTGCCAGAGGTCGAAATTGCAGCCTCGCCGAATCAAGCGAGCGGTGTAGGTAGGATCAATGTCACGCTCTTTTCCTAGTGAAGTGTCCTGATCTCTTGGAATATGCTGCCCAACAACCCTGTCCATCAATCCGAGTTGCCAAGGACTTGACTGGTTGCAATGGCCCCGAGAAGCACAGTTCTCCAACGTACCTCGAAAGAGCCGAGTCTCTCTCGCCAGGTACCTAGCTCTCCACAGAGGTTGAGCTGCTCCTTGCTTAAGGTTCTGAGGTATTTGTTCTCGGTAATCTTGATTTCGTAGTGTAGAGCAGAGTATGCGCGCACATGAACGACGCACAAATTATTTGCTCTCTCATCCAGCTGTCGAAGATCAATTGGAGTATCCCTGAAGATGAAGAGCAACGCTAGGAGTGCTGGTCTCTGGCGTGCCACCCATTTTGACTTCTGTGGGCGGGCTATAGTGAAGGCATTTCAGATACAAATCCACGTGAATAATAAGTTGATATTCATGTCCAGATGAATTTCGAGTGTTGAGTAATGACAGGTCTATTCTGTTTTGCTGTATCTATGTGTAATCCACAGCCAGGTTCTATTGGTGTTATCAATCCCGGTCGCAACAGGTTGAGAAATTCGACGGTTGTTGTTCAAATCCAGGGTCTAGCTTGTTATCACCGTACTTCGCCCGGCCGAGCTGCTGCAGCTGCCACGTCACCGTCAATGTTTCGCACACCAGTTTCGTCGCGTCGACCCTCCCATAAGCGGACCCAGAAATCAGGAGGGTCCAACGGTCGTTGGCCCTCATGCAAACCAGGCCAAACATCCGCGAAGAAGTAATAGACATGGCCCACGATCACACCGAGTATCTCGTCCTTGGGAATGCTGCCATGCATAAACATGTGGAAGGCCATTAGAACCCACGGGAGATAAGGGGCGGTGAAGACAAGAACGCCGAGAAAGCTCAGTCGAGTGTCGGGGTTACGTCGTGACCAGATGTATACAAGAGTGCTGGATAGTGCCGAGCCCAGGAATGGGATGGATGTAGTAAGTGAGCTCAAGGCTAGCAGCGACGTGCATGCGTATAATAGCAGCCAAGAGAAGACGGCTGGTGAGGCCCCAGAGCCTTGTTCTAGCAGTCGAGAATATCGCTGAAGGAAGAACACATGGAAGGCTAGGTCCAGTGACGGCGGACCAAAGTATATGAACGTAGTTAACAGTCGCCAATACTGGGAACGTTAGCAAATGCGCGCTTGGCCGTTGTAGACATATGCACCCACCTGCGACTTATAGTAGACGGCACGCCATGAATAAAACAACTGAAATGGTGTGATGACTTTGCACTGCAACAATATAGATGTAATAACCGTTGCCGTCGTCCAGTACCGGGTGCAAGGCGGCATCTCAAAAAACCACTGTTCGAGGGGAAACTGCCCCAGTTGGCCGAGGCCATCTTCACCCCCGCCCCCAAGTATCGCGGCCATTATCCAAGGTATCAGGTCAAAAAATGGGAGGATGGTGCGAGAAAAGTCTGAGAGGAATTCGGGACTCTGGACGATGGTGTAGATAGGCGATAGTACGGACTGAGTCAAGATCGGGGAACGTAGGTCCGAGTAGTCATGGTACAAGTGATCTGCTGGCGGAGTTGGAGATAGTATAGGAAAGGAAAGGTTCATGTAGCGGTAGAGAGAGGTTAGGTGTTTAGGTGGCCTCTTCTCAGAGGGAATGAGACATCATCATGAAGAACATAGGGGGGCGAGGTTTGAGCAGGCTTTACTTTGGGGGCTGGCGGGATGTATGGAATGGAATGATGTCGAACCACAGCAACTGCGGCGCGCATGGCTCCGAAGAAAGGAACGGCGAGGAATGAAGTCGTCGTATTAGGCAGGTGAAGCGACCGTTCAGTAAAGCGGGCCAGATGCCGACTTGTACCGAGTTGTGGGTGGTGGGTCTTTCGTAACGCGCGGAGAATGATGTCTGTACATAGACGCGACCTTCATATGCCCGCCTGGCCCGCGCACGCATCTCATCTGTTGAGCCTCACCCAGTTATTCTAGACTATTACGGCCCGCCAGCAACCATTGACTTCGGAGTCCATGCAGCCATCTCTGTCGACTTCCAGAACCAGCTGATACTCGCGCGTCCAGCCACGAGATCCCGCGCCCTCTATTGGTTTCCCTTACTTTTGACTCAGTCCCAAGTCGACCACCCACGACGCTGTATACATGGCTCAGACAAAAAGCATCCGGCGACGCTCAGGACCTCTTACCCCCAAAAGAGGACAGGCTCAACGAGTGAACCCGTCACCTAGAACAACATCAGGCAAGCGGCTCCGCGCGCAACGTAAGTTCCAAGACATTCCCATCAATATATATATATATATATATATATAAACCCACACAACACCCACATGCTGACAACATTCGACAGCTGGCGATCCCATACCCGTGCGACGACCCCGAAGATATCGACCTGGAACACTCGCACTCAGAGAAATCCGAAGATATCAGCAATCCACCGACCTCTTAATCCTGAAACTGCCTTTCGCTCGTCTCGTCCGAGAAGTCGCCCTTTCTATCCTTCCGTACCACGCTGCGCAAGATCTTCGGTGGCAAAGTCAAGCAATCCAGGCCCTGCAAGAAGCGAGCGAGGCATTCCTTGTGCATCTCTTCGAAGACACAAATCTGTGCGCCATCCATGCGAAGCGGGTTACGATTATGCAGAAGGATATCCAATTAGCGAGAAGGATTCGAGGCGCTTGGGGTGGATTGGGTTGAGCGAATGCATTGAGCTGGCATGACTTTATGATTCACAAAGATGTTGGTATTGTTTGGTGTTTTGCTATCCGGGTCTTACAGGACAGGCATACGGGGTCAACCCAACTCGGCGGAGATTGTGTCGCAACATCCTGTGTTTGGCTGGGTTTGGCTTCTGTATGAAAAGGTGCTACAAGGCAGCATGCGAATTTGTTTTGGTCAGCGGGGTTGCCGCTCGACTCGTGTTTGCGCCATAATGGGTTGAAAGAGCAGACAAATACCAGAAATAAACTCGCTCTGTCCATTGGGTTTTCGATTCTAGCCTGTCACACTCGATCCAAGCACGCCTTTTGTACTCGTCACGTCTCCGCTACCCACCGCGCCCTCCGCTCTCCTCTCGCAAGCCTGTCTGCAAGCCACTGCCAGCGCCTTGAAAGCGCTTTCCGCCCTGTGGTGGTTATTGCTTCCGTAAACACACTTTACATGCAAGGTGACACTGGCAGCCTGTGCAAAACTCTCGAGACCATGCGTGATCATCTCTGTGCTCAAATCGCCGATCTTCTCGCGGGTGAATCCAAAATCTATCACACTGTACGGTCGGTTGGAAAGGTCGATGACTGCCCACGACAAGGCTTCGTCGAGGGGGGCGTCACCGCGACCAAAGCGGACGAGAGAAGTCCGTTTCCCCAGCGCGGCATTGAACGCTGATCCGACCGCCAAAAAGACGTCCTCTGCCGTGTGGTGGTCGTCGATGATCAGATCACCACTTGCCCGGATGGCGAGGGACCAACCTCCATGCTTCGCCAGTGCGTGCAGCATGTGGTCCAGAAATCCAATGCCCGTGGATATGGCTATCTGCTGAGTGGGCGTTATCTGTGTCGCATGGTGCGATGTGGGCAGAGGAAACAGGACGTCGGGATGTGCCTGTTTCTGAGCTGGTGATATCGCCGAAGGGAAATGCTGGGAGGCTTCGTATGCGAGGAGTGGGCCTCCATCTAGCGAGAGCGACACCTGGATCTTGGTCTCGTTGGTGATGCGCGAGAGTGTGTAAGTTCGGCGCGGTAGTGATAACGGCATAGTTCGTTCTATTGACCCCATTTTGACCTGTCTCGACGATTGCTGTTTCGTGAAAGACGGGTCGAGAAAGAAAAAGTAAATCCGTCTTGTCAGACTTGCCCAACACGGGGTTTTGTTGTCGCTGCTTTTGGCGGTTGTCTTTCGCAGCCGCCATGCAATCAATCAGGTCTCGTCCTTTGGTAATCGCAAGGCCTCAGACCCGCGCTAGTGAACCCTGATGCGATTATCGGTGGCGCGCACTAGATGGTCAATACTTTCAGTTCCTGTTAATTGACAAGCTTAAGAGCTTGTCCGAGCAATTGAATCAACACTCGTACCTCTGAGAGCACCTCGAAGTTCGGGAACCAACAAATATACTCGTCCGAGCATTTCATTAGCGGTCAATAGATGCTAAACAAGAGCAGCAATAAATCCTTGCTGAATGTAGATTAGTCTTTTCCATAACAGGCTTAGGTTGGATTGTCGCCGACATCGAGATTCTGCGGAGCAAACACAAGCGGAAGGTGACGCTGCCGCACCTCGAGCTCGAAGCTGGATTCACCACACTTAAACCGCGACTTGGACCTAGCAGTACCCCGGAACTTCACATTCTCTCTGTGGACCTCATATGTGAGAGTTGAGAGCTCCAAGATGGTCATAAATCCCACATATCTGGCCCAACGGTCACGTTCTTGTAGGTGTCACGATCCTCGGGGTCCAGTCTTCTTACGGGTGGGAATTCACTGACCGGATGACAGCAATCAATTGGTCAGATGCACGACGGCGAGTCCTGAAGTCCTATCGAGAATGGCTGAGAGCGGTACGCGAACATAATACCGGACCTCGTTACGCTTGGGGGGGATAAGGGTGGCTGACTGAGAGTTTTGGAATTCAAGGGACCTGAGATCCAACAGCTCTACTCCCTCAATATGCCGGTCTCCAGAATCCGTACGAAAGTCAGAGAAGAGTTCGAAAAGCACAGATATGTCAACAATGTACAGGCAGTCGACGTCCTACTCCAACAGAGTCATGCAGAATTTCAGGTGGGTTCAATATTACACAAAGATGGTCTGAAGGTGGCATGCAGACACTGACGAGATGGGTGTTCACCGCAGGAAATGTTGAATTACTGGAAGCAGTACTCACACGTCATGAAGTACTTTAGGGTGGATGAAGATGAGAATGCGAAATTGCCGAAGAACTTCATCCAGGGTTTTCTTGAGGTATGCATCAAGCAATGCCGCACACCTATCAGCACTGTTCCTGCTGGCTAACTCTTGCTTCTTTTTAGGGCCGTAACTAAGGCAGATTCCCGTTCGGCAGCAACGCTGGAGCAACTGTACATAGCTAGAAGGAGAAGACCCTCCAAAATCTACCGACACTCCGAGCGCCTTTCCAATGCAAATCCATTTCCCTCAACACCCCGACCGTTCGTGGTACCTGGTCATAAATTTGAAGCATTGAATTCGTCTCGCGCTTCTGAGAATTTCTTTGACACCACTTCGCAAGCAGCAATCATATCTAACAAACCCTTCCTGAGTGCGTCGACAGCGGTTGTCTCGGTATCCTCTGGTCTGGGTCAGCATTGGGCGGTGAATGAGACGAGGACCACGAGAAGCCACTCACCCCAAGTCTGTATCCGAATGTTCATTTTCGTCTCGGACGGGTGTGGAATTGTATAGCCACAGAACTCGACATCGGGGCTGCAAAAGTCAATCCCATGATCTACTCCAAAAAACCTCCATCCTTCACGGAGCCATACTTCTTGTTAACAAAATACCGCAGAGCATTGCCCATCGTGTGGTCTTCTTTTTCGAATTGGAATGATGCTGCATGCGAAGATGCGCCAGGAAGCTGCAGCACAAGAGGCATCAGAACCGTAGATCAAAGATTTTTTTTGTTGTATCAAAATCCCGCCGCTCCCAGAAACTTACCACGATCAGCTTCTTCGCCCCGCGCAACAGCAAATCCTCAATATATTCGGGATCGTTTACGTCGCCTTCTGAAACCTCGGACATCTTGAGATATGTTGTAGTCAATATGTTTCTCGAACAGATGGCGATGAATGGACGTTGGTGGACCAGAAACAGATGCGACAATTGATATAAAATCTTCAAGGTTCTCGGAAACTGGTTCTTGATGCCAAGACACCAGAGGCGACTCGCCTAATTGGGAATAGGTCAAGCGGAACCGAGTACTGAGCACCAAAGTACAACAGTAGATTCTGCATCATCTTGTCGAGTTCGCTTCCTCGCGATAGACCTCCTGTGTCTCCTGATTTTATGATCTAGTATGTGCTGTTATGGGCAAAGATTTCACTCACTTGCTGTCTATTCACACCATAAATACGAGGAATAGTTTGGGTGTTGTGACTCGGATTCTATGCAGGCTTTCCCTTTCTCGAAGATGGAGCGATGTTGTGCATTTCTCAAGAATCAAACGGAGGCCATGTGGTAAAGACACCGTTTTCTTCCCGGAGGTGCTGTGCGAGTTTGCACGACTAGAGCCAGGGCGAAACACCCACAGTCATGCATTCGCTATCATACAACGAAAAACCGATGCATCAGCATTTATCACGGGGGAGTCCCAAAGAGACTATGAGAAGCTCCCATAATACCGACTCTGCGTATGCTGAAAGGGTAGCACAACGTCGAGCGACGTGGTTCTCCATAAAGATACGAGTCTCAAAAATGGGTCGTCATGCTTGTATTCTTCGCCCAGTCAGACCTTGACAAGACGTTCTTGGTTGCGTTGGCTTCTTTTCAGAGAGTGAACTATTGCAGAACGTGCTGCATGTCGTGATCTGATGGAAACCTTTTGTGGCCGTGTTTTGCTCGTACTGTTTGCTCTCCAGACATTTGATGTACATCCATAGTGTAGCTAGAGATGAAGTGCCGAGGTATGATGAAAGCAAGGTGGATAGATCTCCTACCACGGAGTACTACTAGGTAGGTACTTAGTAATGCTTGTCGTACCTGCAAGTAATAATAATAATAGAAAATCAAAATTGGTTGCTGTCAAGAGAATGGCGTCAGCGAACTAGCGATCAAAGGTGGGACAACGAGAATCTCTTATCGAAAGCACCGAATCCGTAGTGGTTGCGAAGACTTCTTCCGTGCTTGTGCCACGCGATACGCGCGGAAAGCGCTACAAAGTCCACTCCTGTGTCGGCATAAGAGGCGCGATATGACGGTTGTGTCAAGAACAGACTCGTAGTCTCGAGTAACAGTCCCTGAACCTGAAGTCGGACGATGATGAGGCAGCCTGGCCGTCAAAGTACCTCCATATGTACTCACCAGACAGAGACTGCCTGGCTGCCTGGTTAGCCTCGTGCGGGCGTTTCAAGGCATCTCGTCATTCGCTCATCTGGGCGCCACGATTGGGCTACCTCGTGGCTTCAGGTAGGGGTAGTTGGAATTGCAATACCAACGCCTGAAACTAGCGAGATGTGAGGCCTCTGGCGGAAGAAAAGGCATCCAATCATGAAATGGCTAGAACTCGGAAGATGTGAAGATTTTGACACAAGTCACGTAGGACAATGATCACGAGGACTTCTTTTCTTGCGACAGTGCTGAAAGACGTGCAAGGGCTCGCAGGCCATGTTTCAACCAGTGCCATCCAATTTTTGAGGGGCACCATGATTACTCGCAGGATCATCGAGAGGCTGTTGTTCGTTGTTCAGCTGCCCCAGCAGTTGAAGGCTGCCGCAGCACGATCGGCCACTAGAAGCGTTTCACCATCCACTTGTGATTCACCTAGAGAGTGTTTAGGCACATAAGGGTAGAGCGCCTTCTCCGCGTAGTGTACTGTTTCTGGTCAAATTAATCATGGTATGGAGTACCCTGTGCCCATTCTGGATGTTGCAGGTTTTGGTCAAGCATTGCAGCCGTTGAGTCAACGGGCATGGAAACTTCTGTTGTTGCTGTTAGGCTCTCGTGCGTATCAATGCATCTGGAAAATGCAGTGCATGAGTGAGTAACCTTCGCTTCGGCCTTGGAAGCTAGGTAGAACATTTGGGATGCCTCTATTTGGTACCTAGCAATGCCGAATAGTCCCCAACAAACGAGGTCTAGGGTATGTTTTGGCGGGCGGTAAGCTGCATCTCATTCCACCGAGCTGGGCGATAGTGCGATTCCTTGCTAGGAACCTGGAACCGATTGCAACGTGTGACATGCATTCGTCAGAGGCTGATGTTAGACCTAGTGCTGCCCGTACGAATCCGAACTTCCGGGTCGCTTCCAACCAGGTTCATATTGTGCACTCGAATTCCTCCTCTTTTGCGACTAATATGTGACACCGATAAAGCAGGGTCGGGGTAGCATTCGCAGCACAGTGCAGAGATGGACCGCGTCCACGATCCAAAGGTGAGTTCTGTGGGGAGGGCTGTAACCCGTTGGTGTCAGGACCAAGTGCGAGGAGTAAAACGGCTCGAGACCATCAAAGCCCACAAATGCCCATGACAATAATATTGACGCAAAGCTTCGGCATATGAAACACGATTTGCCGCAGGGTGGGCAAAGTCAAGAGCTCCAGGAGCGCGAGGCAAGCCTTTAAGCTTAGGCTCTGGGCCGAATGAGGTCGCTTAGTTGTCGCATCCGAGAGGTTCCCGCGTGTGTTGGCTGACTAGAGGACAAACTAGCGAAGTCCGAAACATGAACCGGTTGGGATCGAGCCATGGATGGCACCAGAATGGGGGATCGAGTCATAGTGGTAATGCCATCACGCCGCAGATGCTGGGAGTCGACGGGGAGTGAACCAGGGTCGGCATAACTCCAGCTCGAACTTTTGGGTGTTTGTGGGTGCTGCTCGTGCTTCTGGTGCTGCGTGTCAGATGCACGCCCCCCTGGAGAGGCCCTCAAGGTGGCGCCCATGAAACTTCTGGTTATTCATCGCTAGCCCAGACTCGGCTTAACGGCCACAATCTGCGCAGACACATGGCAGGCCGGAAGAGAAGCACTGACAGTTTGTTCTTAGACCCCAGTGCCACCGAAGCCCACCCAGGACCACTTCTCGACGTTGTTCCTGGCTCAGGCGGGTGGGCCTAACACCAGTCGAGGCTAGGGGCTTGGATCTCATCTGTTCCAGTTCCCAATTCTGAATCCCTAGTGTGAACCCAACGAGACTCGCGACACTCGACCGGTGTCGTGTCTCTCGTTTGCGGGTGTCCTTGGGGGCTCCTTGGGGCCCTCCTGCGCGTTCCATTTGCTCCCTTCCCTGCCCTCCCTTCCCCTCCCTGCGCCGCCCGCCTTTTCCCATTTCCATTTTTCCCAATTGCACTTGTGCTCGTATCCTTTCCTTTTCCCCCCTTCCATATCCATCCGTCACCTGCATCCGCGAGGTCTGTTTTCTACACGACCTTAGCCGCTCGTTGCTTGCTCATCCCGTTCTCTACTATTCCGCCTCTCACAAAACACCTCAAGTCGCCTTTCGATTTTTTTGTCGCTACCACGGTCGCTCGCTACTCGCAAGGTTGTGCTCGACTTGCTGGCAAATCGCCGCCATCCATCTCGCGCTGCTTGCTGGCGAAGCCATTCGTTTAGCGTCCAATTATTCTTTTTTGGGGGCCGCCTCCGACGCCTTTACAATCGACTATCGGTGGGAAGCTTGAACCTACAAGTCTTTTATCACTGGGAGAAAGAGCTGGATTGTTCACTGCTGTTTTGTCAAGGGCTACCTGTGCGACTCGAGTCCTCAGCAGCCCCTCTGCATCCCGGTTTCTGACGGCCGACCTCACCATGTCGACAGCTGTAGCTCCAGCAATAATGGCTGCGCTCCCACCCCTTGACCGAAATCCGAGCCCAAGAGCATATCCACCATTAGCTCCTTCGAGTAACTCGACCCCTAAGGACAGAAATTCAGATATGGCCATGACCTCGGAAATGAGTGGTGGCATGAATTCAAGTGAAAGGACACCTTCAGATGGGAAAAGGTCCCCTAGGTCGTAAGTTGTATCGACGCTCCTATTTCCTGCTAAACGATAGCTGATTGTCCTCCGACCCAGCAGTAGGAGCAACGGAAATCCCAAGATCATCGTCAAGAAAGAGCCACCAACATCTCCCTCGCTCCAGGCGAGTACTCGTCACCGTCCAAAGAAGTTGGATTTGAATACAAATACCTCGATCTCCACCGGCTTGAACTCGCGGCCTTCTGCAACACCACTGACTGCAAGAGACGGCCTGGTGATGCATGACGTCGGTTTAGCCTGTTTGTCGCCTGGCTTTCAGACCCAAGATCCTGCCATGCGGGAACAGCTTGAACGCAGCATTTCAGTCCGGGACCAACAACGATCAATCATCCAGGCAAGACTCCTTAAATCCGCTCGAGGCGATGCGCCCGAGTCTGGAAAGCCTGGTGAAGGAGCTGGCCCAACCTCGAGCAAGAGCACCGTAAATGGTTCGAAGAAGAGACCCCCACCAGGTTTATCGATTGTCCCCCCTCCCGCCGAACGATTTGCCAACGAAAGGGTCATACAATCCGCACCATTGAATCAGACCTTCACCGGTCGACATGACCCTCCTCCTATGTCGAGGCAGATTAACAACCAAACACCCAACCTGGCGCAAAACTCACATATTCATCATGTGCCTGCTATGCAGACAACGAACCGGTTGCCTCCTATTGCCGATGTCTTCGGGGCTAACGAATTGCATCCGGGCGCTAGTCGACCGCCTTTCCTTCACGCAAGCTCAACTTCGTCTCAAAGCCATGGTCCTCCCCTGCCATCGCCAGGATTCGCTCCGCAAACAGCTCACCCGGCGTCTCAGCATCAATCACATAATTTCGACCGCCCAAGAGAATATCGATCGGCGGAAGAAGCAGTGCATGAGTTGACCGGGGGCCGGGAGGAGCTGTTGCCGAAAATCGTTCACTATGGTGGTCACCAACCCCCTACACCTCCTTCACCTCGCGTTGGGCATAAAGACAGTCTGACTCCGCATAAATACCAACCCAGCATGCAATCCACAAGCAGGAGGAGAAGTCGCAACGAGTATGAAGATGGCAGCAGTCCCCCGCTCGGTCCAGGCCCCGATCGAATTCGTTACAACGGACCTTTTGGGGAGGGAAGGGACAGCCCGGCTACTCAGAGAGCAAAGAAGGAGGAGTTCTTGAGCCTGTGCTCGAGAGCCTGGGACTTGTTCCACTCCTGATTTGTAACAGCTCGTCGCTTTCATGTCCTTTGGATACTGAAAACGTATTCCCAGCTCTTCTTGGGCGACGGCGCTTTATGGCGTAATGAGACAACTGGCTATTGCTCTCTCGGACCTCTGATCTATTGAGCTCTGTGGGATTTGAATCGCCTTTTGGGGATTGAGGTGTTCTTTTTGGCTGATGAACTTGCAAAGGGGACAACTGCGTAATGATGAACAAGGACTGGCTGGACTGGGACTATTGCTTAATACCAATTACCGACTTCAGGACACAACGAATCGGGTGGGACGGCTGATTTTAAGGAGGATGTGGTGGGCGCCAAAGGTCTCCCAGATACCAAGGACAGGGTTGATGATGATGCATTTTATCTTGTGATTACGTTCGGGATTGATGGGTGGGAAAGGAGGACGAATTTGGTAGTGCACAGATTCGCTAGGCTTGGAAAATGGGAAATTTAGTCACCTTGATCGGTGCCAAAGCTGAAGAGCATTCCCTTTGTCGGGATTAAATTTCTTTTTATCTGGATGGCTCCTATATCGATGCGACATTTTGTTGGACGGACAGAGAGGAAAGTGAACGTCAGATTGAGATTGTATAGAGCCTTACACAGTTCGGCAGTCTCGCGGTTTGCTCCTTCGCCTTCCCCAACTCGGAATTGGAGAAAAGCCTCGACCCCGCCACCCACAGACGAGGCTGAACAGTCCTTTTCTCCAACATGGCAAAACCTCATTCAGACCTTACCTCTCAATGCCCTTCCTTTCCCCTCCCCTTTCTGATACCCTTTTTTTTTTGTTCAAATATCCAAAGTCCGAGTCCGAGTCTGTGCTGGAACCCTTGTTGAGGTCCTCCTAAGTTCCCTCGGTGTGTTTTATTCTCTTTTGGAAACAAGAATAGTTTCCTTCAAGTTTCGTTCTTTTTTCCCGCACTTCCTCCTGCCTCACTCTTACTTACCTCTTCTTCGGAAGTCGATTAGAAGTACGAGGTACTGTATATCAATCGATTGACTGCTGACGGGAGACGGGGAACGGGAGACAAGGAGGTCTTTGTTCGTATCTACCCGGATACTACGCAACGGAAAGATATCCAATATCTCGGAGAAACTTCTCCGTCGCGGGGGTATTTTTTTGGAGCATATAACCGAAAAGGAGAGGGAGATCTAAAAAGAAATCAAAGAAAAAAGGTCTTTTTTTGAATGCTGAGAGTGCACGGTCCGGCAAGAGTAACGACAGACCTGTTTCAATTCCTCCTCCGACAGACGACAGGCCCAAGTAGGACGCCGTCATCTTCGCGGGCATCAGCTTTATCGTCACCGTTACAGCACTTGCCATCGTCAACCGCGAGTTCGAAAGAGAATCGCCGCACGCAAAGCTCCGTTGAACCTCGACTCACAAGACGCAGCTGCGCGAGTGAGGTTGCGACCTTTCGAGTTGGGTTTGTCAGAACTCTTCATACACACAGCAGCGGCGACACCAAACACACCAGTAATATTCCCCTCAACCGAAGAATCCCGTCCACAATGCGCGCTCAAGTGCTAGAACGTTTCAATACTCCCTACACCTTCAAGACCGACCACCCCGCACCGCCTCCGCCCAAGGGACATGAGATCCTCGTCCACGTCAAGGCAGCCTCGTACTGCCACACGGATGCGGTTTTCGTGTCCGGTGCCATGCAGCAAGACCTGCCGCGCATCGGATCTCACGAATTTGCCGGCGTCATCGAGCAGATCGGCGCCGACGCGCAGAAGGTAGCCGAGGCGAAAGGACTAAAGGTCGGAAGTTTGGTCGGCGTGCCTGGGAGGGCGTTCAACCCGTGCGGCCAGTGCAAGGAGTGTACGGAGAATGGTGGGGACATGAAAGGATATGGTGTCTGGTGTACACGGGCGGGCAATCTGGGAATGACTAAAGACGGTGGTTTCCAGGAGTGGTGTCTTGTAGATGTCCGGCAGGTTGCCCGCGTCCCTGAGGCTGGCGGCATGCGAGCAGTCGACATAGCCCCACTGATGTGTGCGGGAGTCACGGTTTGGAATTCCCTTGAGGCCGCGGGTGTGGATACTACCGGTGCAAAGGGCAGTGGACAAGGCAAATCTGTGGCGATTCTCGGGGCGGGTGGTGGATTGGGTCATCTGGGGGTGCAATTTGCGGCGAAGCTGGGATGGAATGTTGTCGCAGTCGACACCACACCTGCGATGGGTATGTTGAAGGATGTAATTGAGGGACTAGGAGAGGACGGCAAGAGGGTCACGGTGGTAGACGCATTGAAGGAATCGGTGGATGATGCGAAGAAGCGCATATTCGGCGAGGCTGAAAAGGGGCTCGAGGGCGAGAAGGGGTGCGACTCGTCCATCGTCCTCCCTGAATCCCAGGCCGCCTTTGACTTTGGTATGGGCATCTTGAAGCACCACGGTACCTGTGTCTGCGTGAGTTTCCCCAAAGACGGGTGGAGATTCAAGCCTGGCGATCTCGTGTTTCGACACATAAAGCTGGTGGGCGTCCTGACTGGGAGGAACCGACAGCTGCAGGCCATGGTGGATTTCGCGGCCAAGAACGGCGTGAGAGCAAAGATCAGGACGTATCCGCTGGAAAAGTTGAACGAGCTGGTCGAGGATTATCACCGGGGCGTGGGCGGAAAGTTGGTCGTAGATATGGAGATGAAACCATAGTCATCCACGGTACAATTGCATCTCGTGATTGCTATCGTTCACGCCTTGCCCTGGGCATATCTCGTGCTTCTTTGGCCTTCTCTCTCTTCCGTCGCCTCTTCTCTGCCTTATCCCGGACTTTCTTGCCCAGACTTTGCAGTCTCTCCTCCTTAGCGAGTCTTCTAACATCGGCCTCCTTCAAGTAGTAAGGTTTGGATTTCTGTCCAGTCCGAAGCGCTTCCTTTTCTTTTTCTTTATGCCTTTTCAGGATCTCCTTTTCACGCTGATGGGCTTCTGAACTGCGGATCTTTGACTCCAAGGACATGACTTGTCGCTTCAAGTCGGCAACAACATCGGCGTCTTTGGCCTTTTTGATCTGGGCCTTGAGTTGCAGAACCTCGTCGGCTTGGTATTTGGACAGAAAAGAATAGTTACGGTTTGCCTTCTCCGTGGCGTTCCTGTCTCGATTTGCGGACATGACTGTGGGATCGAAGCGCGGATCTCGCGCTTTCAGGGAAGGGGGTGGCTCGAATATGATTCTCTTCCGCGAGACCGGCTTCCGCGCCGACTCAACGGCGGGCGCATGTTTTGAACTTCTCTTGGGTGCATCAATCCGTGCTTCCTTGGCTCTTTTGCGCGTATCGAAAGATTCTTCTCTGTTCACTTTGGCCTTGTCTAATGCGGGCTCTTCCAAGCTCTCCGCGAGCTTTCGTTTCCGGGATTTGGGAGCGAACGTTTCCTGGGCTTTCGCCAAAGCGCCGAAGCTGATATTTCCCAAGGAGTCTTCTTCGTCAGCTTCAATTCCAGATGACAGAGCGCTATCCTAGACGTTGTCAGCACAGGAGAAGAACTCCGGCGGCTGGTAGATTGATTTACCTCGTTGTCAGACTCCGAGTTGCTTTCCTCTGAGATGTCACTCTCCGACTGCGTATGGCTGTTTAAATTCTCGTCGGAAGGCTCCAGCTCATAATCTTCTTCATCTTCATGTCTCAATCGAATGGGACCTTCTAGGAGTCGCCCCGAGGCCATTGAAACTGTCGAGAGTAGAGCCACCGGTTGCAATGATTGATCAAACTGCGGACCCCGCGCCCAGCATGGAACTTTTTATTTTGAAATGCGTGTGTTACAGGCATCAAGTGGATCGACAACCTTAAACGCCAGATAAAGTTGACGACTGCGCCATACGCAAAATGGAATGCCCATGCCAATTGCGCTAGTAATAGTATTATCGGTCAGAACTTTTAGTCTCCAGCGTCTCTCTGCCTGTCTTTCAAATAAACAAATACAGACACTATCAGCTACAACTGCGGCTCACTCCCCCCGCCACTAGGCTCTCCCTCGACATATTCGAGGTGCGCGCAGTCTGGCGTTGCGCATAGAGGTTGCCCTCTGTTGCAGACCGCATTCAAGAGTCTGCCTGACCCAAACACCCATTTCACTTTCGCCGCCCACTAACTCTTCTTCCAGTGGCCGCACATCCCTCACCTCTTCCGACCCCCTCTACATCCTCCTTCACTGTCCTTGCATACAATAGAGTTGCTCAACATGGGTAGGACTCGAGGTGATCGATATCAGCCGAATGACAATCGACTGCCTGCGGCGCCGGTTGCCATACCCCAAGAGTTTCAGCCACGGAATCTGGGCGCATATGATTCCTACAGGCCAGATCGAAACGCACAGATCCGTCAAGGTGACTACTTTCAGTGTTATCTCCAGTACAGAATTGACACATACAACGCAGCGGATTCGTGGAGACCGTACAGAAACGACGACTCGAATTTGCAGACTGCCACCAATTTCCAGTCCTCCTACCGTGACTACTTTGGCCGCGCTCAGCACGAGACACACCCTGCCGCCTCAGCAGGACTCAATCCTGGCGCGTTTGCAGCCCAGACCCCCCGAGAACTACCGTCTTACTATAGGCCGTATCAACCTTTAAGGTCAGTCCATAACTATGCTCGATATCCTACATATCGAGTTGACAAGTCAAACAGAGTGTCGAATGGCACACGCGAGAGGTATATCGTCCAGCACGCTCAAAACATATTTGAGGTACCACAGCCACAAACATCATCTCGATACCAGTTCCGAGAGAGACGGCCAGCGCAAATTGCTCCTTACAGCACTCCAGCCGCACGCGCACCTGCGTCGTCTGCTGAGACTGCGGGTAGACGAGGACAGGCTGGGAGTACCCCGGTTTCCAGAGCTCAGCAGCGCAGGCTATGGATCCCCGATGTCAAGCCTCCTCCCGCCCCGACAGCCACCGAAGAGTACAAGAGACAAGCAGCATTACCGCCCGTGCTGAGAGAAACACCACAAAAGCTGCTAGTCATTCTCGACCTCAACGGCACACTCCTTGTTAGACCTCAGCACCATCGTCCTAAGCACATCATTGTGCGACCTGGTGTCCCCAAATTGTTGGACTACCTATTCCAGAACCATGTTGTCATGGTGTACTCATCGGCGAAGCCTGAGAATTGTGCAGCCATGGTAAGTCAGTTCTTTCATCCAACTCAATGGGGTGCAATGGCTGGTGTTTGGGCTCGAGATAAGCTGGGCCTCAGCAGAGAACAGTACGACACCAAAGTGCAGGTGTACAAGAAGCTCGAACCCATCTGGGAAGACAAGAAAATCAGAAAGAAAGCAGGAACCGGACGAAAGTGGGATCAGAGTAATACTGTCCTCGTTGACGATAGCCAGCTGAAAGGCCTGGCACAACCCCACAATCTGTTGCAGATTCCCGAGTTCCTCAACAACGCGCCCAGAGAAGGCGGTCCAGCGCTGTTCAACTGGCAGCGGGAACAAGAACAAATCGTCTATTCTATCCAGCAAAAATTGGAAGAACTCAAATGGCAGGTCGATGTATCCAGAATGATTCGAGAATGGCAGACAGGCAAGCGACAAGCACCTGGTGTGGTCGACGAGACAGTAGATCAAAAGGCTCTTCAAGGTGCCCCAGACCGTGGGCTATCTCCTACACCTAGTGTCGGGTCTCCGGAGCTAAGCGGTGGTGAGGGTGACTCTTCAGTCTCGCGACGACTTCACGCTGCAGAACAGACTCTCCTGTCCGACGCCGAGGTCCTTTCCAGTCTAGATGGACTCGAGAATGAAATTAACCGCAGCCTGAATCTCAACCAGAATCCTAACCAAGGCACAGACCCAGCCACTAGTCCTGCGATTGCTAGCACCAGTGCCAGCAGCCCTGGCGTTAAAATCCGGGACGATCGACGAAGTGAGTCACCCATCGACGAGAGTGTCTGGGCTGACATTCTCAGAGGCCGTGGAGAGGCCAGCAACGTCAGCGAAAGCATACAAGAGACGGCAGGCCAAAAAGCGAGCCCGGAAAAAGGCAAAGGCAAAGGCAAAGGCAAAGGCACAGGCCAGCGCCAACGCCACCGCAAGAAGAAAGGCCCAAAAGAAGCAATAGGGTCTGAGTCGTTGGGAAACGCCCCGCCTACTCCAGAGAGTATTGACGCTTGACGAAGGTATTCACTTAGGGTTCGACGCGAAATATGAGGATGGAATAAGTCGATGTGTGACGATTCTTTGCTATCTGGCTGATGCAACCGATGTCTTTCTACAGCACCACCGGGTTTGATTACGGAGGGTCCAACAACGACGATCGCAAACAAGAACAACACTCCTCGTGCTTTGTCGGTTGCGCGAATGGATCAGCTGGCTCCTTGTGCAACGCTGGGTCGTGGTACCATTCATGGGCTGAATCGAGAGAGCAAACGCAACGCTTGTTTGTTTGTTCGCTTGCCTATTTGCTCGCTGGATGGGTTGTTCGAGTACAAAACTTCGAGGAGAGCCCCGGCATGACTGAGCTGAAACCTCGATCTGCCCCGGACAGACAATTGCCAAATGTCGTCGTCGTCGACCTCGACATGGAGGATCAGACACAGGAAGAGAAATGAAATGGCAGAGAACAACCTCACATTAATCAACACGGCTTACCACGGTGGGTGCTCGGGTGTTGAAATCATGTGCAAAACTAGCCTTTTAAAGTCCATCAAGTCTCAGTTTCATCAGAACTCCCAGATGTCGACAATTTCCCTCCTTTTTAGTCCTTGTCCTAGCTCCTTGCTGTATGAAGACGAGTTCAGCCATCCCGTGTACCACCCACCCACTCAAGCACTGTGTTTGAAAAAAAAAAAAAAAAAAAAAAGTCACGTCGCTTCTGCCGTGCTATATCCCAGACCCCAGAATGTACAGCAGAGGTCGACCAAGTTCGCGCCCATTCACTATTCTGGAGGGCCGGCTGGGCCATCATCCGCAATACCCTTGATGCCATTTGGCAACATCTGCCAGCCAACCTCTGCTGCAGCCATCTTCTCTTTTGCCTCGACAACCCGGCCCTGAAAGTCCAGTGCCTGGGCCTCCAGGGCGGTCGCAACGTGCATCCACATGGGCTGGCCCCATCTCCCTGTTTGATTGCTGGCGGCCCTGGCGCATTTCAAGGCTTGGTCGTCCGTCGAGCCCTTGTACATCTGGTCTTGCATGTAGACGAGGATCAATGCCGTAGTCTGCGCGTTACCAATTGCTTTGCTTTCGGCCATCGAGCGACCCAGAGAGTTCTTCTTTGCGGTCTGGTTTGTGGACAGAATGGCTTCGACGAGAGCGTAATGCGACTTGATGTATGGATTTCCGCACTTCTGAACCGCGGTGTCCAGATCCTTGATCAAAGATGACAGGCGCTTATTTTGTGGATGGGCTGGATTGCGGATGATCAAGGTGGAGTTCATCATCGCGAGGATGGAGAATTGGCGAGTTATATCGGACTCTGCATGGTAAGAATTTGATATCTGGTTTGAGCATCTAGATCCTCCCGAGGGTGATTTGTTCGGAGTGTCGATGTCGGAAAGAGATTGATAGACCTGAAGCGCCCCAGCCAAATCTCCCGTCCCCTGCAGCACGGCTCCCCGGAGATACAGCAGGCAGGACTTCATGTTGACCGGAAAAGCGTTGCCCAACTCCTGTGAGATCACATGGACTTTGTCTAGGGTATGGTTTGCCTCGTGCCAAAGTCCTTTCGAGCACTGTAAGAAGACGAGAAGCAACGAGAACTCAGCTTCCGCAAGCCTTCGAGATATCAACTGTCTTTTGGACTCTCGGTATCCTGCCTTGAGGGAGGGCATTCCCAGAGCCTTAAGAACAGAAAGGCCGCTGTCCGCATATTTCTCGGCCTTGCCTCCATCAGATCCATTCTTGTAAGCTGAACTCGCTGCCGAGAACAAATTGCCCAAGGCCATTGTTTCCTTTTTTCCAAGCCACGAAAAGGGGATATGGTACTTTCCATTTTTCTTGATGAGATTCCCATTTCCATGGAGTTGCATACCAGCTACAGCCTTCGTTCCAACCGGAACATAGATCAAGCCATCCTCTCTCCAATTTGGATCGCTCACCGACCGCCTCAGAATGTCTAGCATAACCGCGAGCTTTTCCGCGATTTGGCTAATGTTGGCTCCTCGGATGCTGCAGGCAAGGTCGATGAATTTCATCAGTATGGTGAGCTGTGGAATCCCTTGGACATCTGTATTCAATTGCGAACTTTGAGCCTGTGCCAGCGCCGTTTGACTAGCTGTCACGGCTTCTTGACTCGAGCCAGATAGGTGCAGAAGAGCTTCAAGAGCAGCAGCAAATGCAAAGACGGCATCGTCAGAACTTGCATGAGCCAAGCGCCTAATCTTCTGCAACTGGACGACAGCGCCGTGAATCTCGCCGGGGGCACTAGAAGCCAACGAAAACATTGCGTGTTGGAAACGAAAGATATACAGCCAAACTGTATGGCTATAGGCTTCGATGTCATCGATCATTCTCTGGATATCTCGCAGAGCGGCTTTGGGTTTCGATTCGTAAAGTACCTTGGACAGGAGGAGCTGCATCTCATACTTTAGATCAATAAACTTGTGTCGCTCGCACAGCTCTATGGCCTTTGCCAAGATAGTCTCTGCCTCATCGTAGTTTTCCGTTTCCGCGTACAGAAGTTGGGCGTAGCGTAAAGAGACCTGTGCCTCCCTCAGAGGAGGTACTTTGAAATTGGCTAGGACTGATTCAAGACAACCGAGCGTGGTGGCGATGAGAGTGTAATACTCTTCGGTCGGAGCAGGCAGCTTACGAGCCGCTTCGAGGTAGTCGTCGGCAAGGACGCATAGGAGGGAGGGGTAATCTGGTTCCAGCTCATCGACGTCGATGGGAAGATCGCGGTGGCCCGGCGACTTTACAACAGGTTGCCTTGATGTTGCATTGACCTCCACAGCTTTCAGGACACGAGACTGGTTCTGTCTAGGCATCTTTGGGGTATTTGAACTACTCGTGGATGCTACCTGTCTCTCCTCTTTCTTCGAATACGAGGGAGTAACAGGGGTGGGGTGTTGAACGTCACCAACGGCGGATCGAGAGTCTTTTCCTAGATGTTGTTGAGGTAGCTTTGCCGCATGTTGAGGTCGTTGGGAGCTTTTCGGGGTATTCTGATGGGCAGTGACTGGCTTCGGTACTTGAGGTCTGGCCTGCTGGCTGGCTCTAGGGGTTTGCTGGCCGTACTGTGCTTGTGGCGGAGAGGAGTGAATAGGACGGCGATGAGGCGGTCCCTCGATGACGTCGGAATCAAGCTGTGAAGGTTGATGGCCTCGTTGTGATTGCACAGTCGCAGGCTGATAGCGGGGTCGAGGCGTCGGGATTTCAACTATGCCAGGTCCAAGCTGATTTTGTGGCTGTGGGTGAAGCTGGACAGGTTGTTGATAGATTGGCTGTTGAAGCTGTTGCAATGGAGGCTGATAGGATTGAGGGTATGCTCGATTTTGATAGTTCTGGGGGTGGTTCTGGGTGAGAGTTTGGGGATGAGATGATAGATAGTAAGGCTGTGGCTGAGGGTGTGCTTGCGACTGGTGAGGGCGGTGATGTTGAGGTTGCTGAGAATGCCCAGAATATTGTGGGTGCTGAGGACGTTGAGACAAGGGATCGAGGTGGTAGGGAGACTGCGGGAGGTTGTTGTTGGTATCGTAAAAGTAGCCCTGGCCAAGGTTGTGGTTGGCCGAGTTGTTGGGATAGTGGAAGTTGGGATCCATGATGAGAAAGAAGCTGCAGTCACGCTGGCCGTGCGCAGTTTCTTGGAACCTTCAGACTTCACTTTGCACTCAGAACAAAAACACCACACTACCATTCAAGGCCTGTCAAACTTCTGTAATAATTGCCAACACAGCCCCCCAAATGGCCTTTTGTGAACCTGATGTAACAGAACAGGACAGACAGCAGTTTCTCCCTCACGCAGTGCTGTCAAGTCGGTCGTGTCGCATCCAAGCCTCCTCAATGCACGCTCACGAGTCTAGCCATCGTCGCGGTTCTTTCACTCCTCACGCCTTTGGATACAGGGCCTAGAATATCGCGAATCTGTAAGAGAGTCAAGTCTAACCTTTGTGGAGACGGTTGAAAGAGGATGAAAGGGACAAGGCGATCCGCACGCAGGGTTTTGGACACAGACTGAGCAGCGGATTGTCGGCAACGTACATCCGGCGCGCACCAATCCACAATAGACTCGGCGACGCCGCCAGACGCGATGCAACACTCGCCAATGCCTCGTACATAACAGACAGATAGTCCTTGACACATCCCTCCGCTTTTTCCGGTCTGATTTTGGGATGGAAAGAGATCAGACTATTCGGCTTGAATAGAGAAAGGCGATGATGCTCGGTCTTGGGGCACTGCTTCAGCAAGCACAAGACCATCCTTTTTTCGCCCTCATTGGGTTCGCTTTCGCAGCGACGTTGGCTGTGGTTCCCACGAGGCGACTCAAAATGGTCAAACCGAAATACTGGCACGCGACTAGGTCACTGTTATTGAAGACGAAAGATGGTCGAACCACTTCCTTTGCAGACCTGTGCAAGTCGCTTATTCCGTCGTGTCGACTCAATCCGTTTCTATTCAACGGGCATCTCCAGACCATCTGGACAGTCTTGACCCGAGAGGATATACCGATCTACTACAAGCGGAGAATCTTTGAGAATGAAGACCCAGTCTTCACAGGCCAGTTCTCGGTCGACTTCGTGACGTCTCCCAACAATGACTCGGATGCGTCTCTACCATCGCGCACGACCTATTTTACAGAACAGGAGTTTCAGAACATCGGCTCTCTGGACAATCGACCTATGTTGATCATGCTCCATGGATTGAGCGGCGGCTCCCATGAGCTCTATCTGCGCCACGTTCTGGCCCCTCTGGTGGGAGAGGGAGGTTGGGAAGCTTGTGTCGTTATTTCTAGAGGTTGTGCCATGAGCAAAACCACTAGTAGCGTGCTGTACAACGCGCGTGCAACTTGGGACATGAGGCAGACAGTCAAGTGGCTTAAAACGACTTTCCCTAATCGCCCCCTCTTCGGAATGGGCTTCTCCTTGGGCGCCAACATTATTACGAACGTGAGTACTGTTCCACTCGGATGCTTCAATCAATTGTTCCTTCTAATCTGCTCCAGTACCTCGGTGAAGAAGGCAGTGCTTGCCCCTTGAAGGCCGCTGTTATTCTGTCTAATCCATGGGATCTCCATGCCGCAAATCTTGCACTGCAGAGAACATGGTTCCGTCGGAACGCCTATTCCGCGAACATGGGCCAGAGTATGAAGAAGCTTTTCGAAAGGCACGTAGACCAGATCTCGCAGAACCCCAAGATCGACGTCGGTCTCGTCCGACAGGCCAGATATCTTCATGAATTCGATCGTTATGTCCAAGGTCCCACATGGGGTTATCCCACAGAAGGGGCCTATTACCGTGATGCCTCGTCGGTCGATTCAGCATTGTCCATAAGGATTCCTTTCCTGGCAATTCACGCTGAAGATGATCCGGTAAGCTTGTCACATTGGTTGTTCCCCTGTGCGTCGCTGATCAGAGCAGGTGACAGCAAGTGAAGCGCTGCCGCGGGAAGAAGTACAACAAACTTCATACGGGGTGCTCTGTACGACTCCCGGTGGGGGTCATTTGAGTTGGTTTGAGCTTGGTGGCAGACGATGGTTCGAAAGAGTGGTCGGTATCCTCCCAAGCATTTGTCAAGGACTTTCCAAGCTGACGCGACTGCGCGTAGACCACAGCGTTCTTCCAGACCATGGCCAACGATATTGACCTGGACTCAATTTCCAAGACAGACGGCAAAGGTGCTCAACTCGAGGGTCAAATCTCTCGCGGCGAACGACAACCGTTGAAGCCTGTCTTTGAGCCGATGCGCAGAAAGATGCATGTCCCGGGCTTATGATAACTCCATCCGACATGGTCAGGGTGTGGATGATAGACACCACGAAGGGTCATGTACGGCATAGAAAGAATAGAATCCTCTCATCGACTCTTGCGTCACTCACGCAAATGACACTCGTTTCTTGGTCTTTGGTTTGCCTTCTCCATTTCCTTCAGGGTCATCTCGAGCAACCAGTCCCCCGTCGTGGGATTTCCTCTTCTTCTTTCCCTTCTTCAACCCGTTTTTGACTCCTTCCAGCTCGTCTCTCTTGCTTTCCTTCCTCTTCTCCATCTCCTTCCTTCGAGCCTCTCTGATCTCCTCCATCTGCCTTGCTTTCATCAGCTTGCTCTCGATCTGTCCCTCCTTCTCCGCGTTTACCATGGCAAGTATCGTGCGCATGGATTCCTCGTCGTCAATGTAGATTTTGTTCTTCTTCTTGCCGGTCCCTCCTCTGCGAGAGTGGTTGGTGGGGTTCTCGGGAGCGGACACCGGCGTGATCATGTTGAGGGCAGGAAGATCGAGGTCTTTGTCAGAGTAAGTCTTTTGCTTGCGTTTGGATGGCTTCGTGGCCTGTGCAGACGTCTGGGAATGTACGCCTGGTTTAGTTTTGACCTGTTTTGGCGGTGGCCGTTTTGTGATCTTGGACTTTTTCAAGGGTCCCGCAGAGCCAGACTTGTGGGCTTTTGGGCTTCTCTTTGCGGCGGACTTTGAGTTTGAAGGCGGTTTGGGCGCCATCTTTGGGGGAGGGCACTTTTCATGCGAGTTGGTTGTGGGCTTGAATTACAACAAGTTACAGTGCAATCGCCAGCGCTGCTTGTCGCTGTGAACTTTTCTTTGGAGAAGAAAATTGCCGACATTTTCCCGGGCGCCGACCGCAAACTCAACGTCATCATTGAATCCTCGAGTGCGGAGAGCCGCAGCAGAGCTTCATCGCTCACACGACCAGCACCTGTTCAGTCTCAGCATCTGTTGATACCACTGCTGTAACTGGGACAAATCTGTGCCTTTGGGGCCCCATATCGAGTGCAGTTGTTAGAATTTTTACCCACTCAGGACTCCAGAGCAATCCAAAGCAGACCGAGAGTCGACATCTCCAAAGGCCCATCGAATCCGCAAATCCCTCGTGGTCCCATTGACTTGTGACGTTCAATTCTCATCCTTGTCTTTCGTTTCTACTACCAATTCCCATCCCCCAAGGCTCCAAGTCACTACAATGCCGCCTCCCTCGTACATAACCGACCCGCTCCCGCCTCCGCAACTGAGCCAAGTGGCCGCGCAGGGCTTCGCCTCGGGTGCCCTGCGGTTCGGCACCATCAGCTTCGCCACGCACTTCCTCCTGAACCGCTACACGCCCGTATACCGCGGGCTGACGATCCAATTCAAGGTGTTTCTGCAGATCAGCGCCATGATCCTGGGCGGGTGCATCTTCGCCGAGAAGCGCGTGGGGGAGTTCAACGAGGGGATCCGCCGGCAGCGGCGGGCGCTGGACCGGAGTCGCCGTGCGTGGGAGGAGGAGAGGGAGGTGCGTGAGATGGTCGAGCGGCGGATCGCGGCCGAGGAGCGCGCGCAGAAGAGTTCTGGTGGTGGTGGTGGCGGCGGCGGCGACGGTGGCACCGACAGTGCGGGAGGGAAGTAAGAAATGATATGATCCTGTCTTCCTCTTCGCAATTCGCATCCGCATCCGCATTATCCGGGATTTGTCTATCCACATCAATTCTCGCGAGGTCATGAGGGGAAGAGAAAGAAAAAAGAAAAAGAAAAGTAAAAGGCGTTTCGGGGACAACAAGGAGTATGAAGGCGTATTATTGAACCCACAGAGCGGGCCTCTGTTCTGTTCTGTCGTTATCAAACCGATACGCGGCATCGATCTTGTCCGCAACTCCCGCCTTCCTCCCTTTCCTGCTTTCTTCTCATGGCCAGCACCTTGCATGCCATCAGCCTCTGATTCTGACAAGACAATAACCAGCCACGGATGGACCAGGACAACTGCTCTGCTTCTCTTCGTGGGGTCCCCGCCGGTCGATGCAGAGCAGACAAGAGACAAGAGACGAGAGACGCACGAGAACGAGATAGAAGGAACGAAAGGATGACAGGAGACGGGAGACGGGGGACAAGTCGTCGCTCGGGCGAGTTTCAATGAATGTGTCGTGTCGTATTGTGTTGCGTTGCCATTCTGGTGTTGGGACCACCTGGGACGGGGGGAGGGGGAAACTCTGCTCATTCTTTTATACTTACCTCGTCACGGCTTCGTCCTTTACAGGTGACAGGTGACAGGTGACAGGTGACAGGTGACAGGTGACAGGTGACAGGGAGGGGCCATCTACGCATACTTTGTATAGAGTCGGGATTGATGCAGCGACGAAGCGACGAAGCTAAGGTGAACAGGATGTTCTCTTGACATCTGGACGTTTTGTACAACACTACACTATAAAACTATAAAAAAGTCACACATGCATGCATACATGTGCACCCTTACATAGCGGGTCGTTTTCGGGCAGGATAGGTATATAAGTCTGGGTGGACTACATTCTCCACGTCAATCAATCAATCAATCAGTCATACTCAATCAGTCAGTCAGTCTCCGACAGTTTCAATCCGTCTCGTCCACCTCAACCGTCGTCGCCCGCTTGAGCATCCCCTGCTGCTCATGCTGCGCCGCCGGCTGCGGCTGCACCTCTTCCGCGACGGGACTCTGACTCTCAGCCTTGTGCACGGGCGCATACCTGACCAAGCGCCTGCGGAGGAAGAAGACCACGCCGGCGATAATTGCGACGAGGACCGGAACGCCCAGGCCCACGGAGAGTCCGATGATCAGCGGTCTGTGGTTTCCGTGGCTCGCGCGGTCTCCTGTTGCGGTTGCGGTGCCGGAGGCGGATGAGGACGAGGGTGGTGACGGCGGCGGGATGTAAGAGACTGGAATGCCCGTCGTCGCCGTCAGGGCTTTGGCGTTGGCGCCGAATGCGACCGTCCTCACGGCCGTTTGAGTCGCGGCAGGCCATGTCGCTTCCGAGCCGGACGGGACCGAGGTCGTCGTCGTGAGAGTCGCTGTGAAGGTCTTCGTCGTCTGCAAGGACACGGGGCAGTTGAGCAAGCCGGACGAGATGCAGGCCACTCCGAAAGACGTTGTCTCCGTGGTCACAGTCGCGAGCGTGAGAGAGAGGTCGCCCGTCGCGTCTCTCGCTGTGACGGGCGCCGGTGTGGTTGTCGAGCTACGGCGGGCCGCGCACGCAGAGCCCAGCTCCGTGTACCAGATGGGGACTTCGGTTTCGGGCGTCGGTCCCCAGGTGGTCTGGTCGAAGGCGGCCGATGCTCCCGCCGCGGCGCCGAGTGCCATGGTGAAGGACTCGACCAGCGCCAGCTCGCAGTCGCCGTCATCGCCTCCGGCGTCGTACGTGACATTGGCGACGAACTCGGCAACGTTGGCAAAGACTCCTGCTTCCAGGCCCGCCGAGCCGCCGAGCGTGTGGTTCGCAATCGTCACGTACGTGTCGATGTCAAAGGTGATGCCGGCGTGGAGACCGACTCGCAGCGCGCCGGTGAACACGAACCCGGCACCCTCGATGCTCACGGGGAGGAATTCAAACATGCCGCCATCACTAAACGAAAAACAGGGCGTGTTAGTGTCAGGGTCTCTGTGGTCTGTTCAGCGTTGTTCATTTCCCTTACATGGTAATGCTTTCCACACTCCTGTTAAACATCTGTAGATTGATGTCGGCTCCGTCAACCTTGATGTGCACTCCGCTGCTGATGTCCACCTCTGCCGCAGCAGTCAGGATCAGATCCACAGTGAAGAACGCCCCGATCTCCAAGGAGTCCCCCAGACTGACGCCCGCTGGGCTCTGTGATGTGTATAGGTTGATCGTGTAGGTGGATGCAACAGAAAGGATGGTATCAAGCTTCATGTAGAGCTCTAGGTTGTCAAAGCTGAACTGCAACCGATAGTCAAAGTCTGGAAAGCTGGGGAGCTCGACGTTGAAATCAATTTCTGTATAGTTGGTGTTGCCCTCGACGAGATCCGACAAGGCCTGTCCGGCTTCCTCGGTGATATTCTTGACCAGGCCAATGGCACTCTCCTCGAGCTCGGTGATGTTGAAGTCGGCATTGCGCGTCAGCTGTCCACTGACCCTGCCGGTAATGTAGCAGGTGGAACAAACAATACTGACACCGTATTGGGTTTCGAGGGAGCCATTACCGGCGGGAGTCGATACATCCTCCTCTGCCTCCATCGTACTGGCGAGTCAGTCAGACATGGTCAAACAACCAGGAATTGTTCAGTGGTCCCTACATGGCAAATAGCAATGCTCCGTCCCAGCTTTTGTCGATAGTCTCGTCGAAGAGATTGACGGTGTCTTCTGTCCCGGATGCAGACAGGGCGCGGCGCAGAACCCGCAGCGTGTCGGCTTCTGTCAGGCCAGCGCCGTTGTAACTGCTGAATGCGATTTCTGCAGAGACGACAAAAAGGCTGAGAGCCCATAGCATCACAGAAAGACAACGATAGATAGACATTGTGAAAGACACGGACGATGAGGCTGGGAACTCACTCTGAGGTCGCCCTGTGGTAACATGCCGTGGACGAGTTTTCAAAGAACTCACCTTACTTAGTAGTTCTGCAACGGTCACACATTGTTGCTCCAGACTGAGCTGTCTCTCTCCTACAGAGCCTCTGGGACGCACTACTCATGCAAAGATATCAAGGCGCGGGGCTTGGCCGTAGACCATTACCAAAGCTCCAAGATGAGAGTGCGGCGCATTTCGGCCCCAACAGTGCTTCAAGCATATGCAGGAGGGCGTTTTCGCTATCCCGGATGCGGGAGAAGCACAGGAACTCGCTACAGGTGGAGGGAGACAGCCACCGGAAGTCGAGATGCAACATGGCGTTCGTTCGAGCGGACGGAGCTGCTTGTGTCCAGCATTTCTTTTTGCCTGCCTGTTCATCTTGCCAGAACAAGATAAGGTGTCGCGCTTGAAAGAGAGTCTTGACGTTCGTCTCAATGAGGCGTCAAGACGATGGCAGCAGGCTC